TAGATCAATCTAGATGATTTAATAAAAAATTTTCTAATCGAAAAATATAAATAAAGAAACTTACATAATCATTTCTGATTGATTTTTGTTGTGATGAATACGAAAATTCTTTATAACCATTAGGTTTCTTTATAACATCACAGGGTATGATTTCTATAACGAAATTATCAGTATAAAATAGAATTATCAGAATGTTCTCATTTGTTTTCGTAGCAGATAATCGAAATGTTTTTCGAATAGCACAAGTAATTTTCTACAAATGTTAAACTTACTTGTCGAATATTGTCTGACATATTCAACTAGTTAATGATGCAGTAAAAACTTTCAATTGTTAATCTTATCTTGACTGATGTAGAAATAAAACTGAATTAAGTATGAGATGACATTTTCATTTACATATATTCTTTTTTTTCTGGTCTCATTAGATACGCACATTCTAACAAATATAATTAAATATAGGTAATCCTCTTTCATCTTGTTGAATGATATATTAATTGATAAGTATCTCTCATATAGTGAAAATCAAACAGAACAAAGCTTTTATAAAAAATTATTCATTTCACTTATATTATTATCAATGTAAATGCATTAAAATTTTTTCATTTAGTTTCATATTCACTTTGATGAATATACAATGGAAGATAATTAAAAGTGCTTATCAATATTTAATTAAGATTACTACTAATGTACATATTTATAACAAAATAGAAAAATAATAGTTTGACTTCCAAAGATTGATCATATATTTCAAATAACATTTCAATCATAATCTATTGTAAAAATTTTTTTTGAAGGAAAATAATGAATCTAAATTTTAAGATGGTATTTTTCAACTCTTCTGTTTTTATAGATCTTACCAATCGGATTCAAAACTCATTAAGCACAAAACTATTTCATAGTGGTCGAAGACAACAAATCTTACACTTTTCTAGCATATTCAAAAGTTAATGATAAAATAAAAATCGTCGCAATATATTAATAATGTTTTAAATAGTGTAATTTCAAGTTTTCGTTTACATAAATAGTAGATATAAAGGATAATAATCAATGTCAGTATTTGTAAATTTATCGATATACATAAGAGCGTATTAAGATTAAAAACATGTGGAATGGTACGAAATCCTATTTGTCTCGTTGTGCGAAACGTGTTGAAAAGAAAACCGGAGAGTGTCGGTGTACATATAAGTATTAGTCTTTTTCAAATACACCAACGCATACACTCTAATGCAATATGAGTAATGGTCCAATATAAAATGTTTGGCTTCTTAGATATTCTTTATGATTTTCGACGTTTGAAAACAATGACATCATCTTACGGATAATTTCCAAGATAAAACTGTTATATTGTCATGACTTTGTTGACACATTATTTATTCTGAAAAAAAAATCATACATTATTGTGTATACAGCTTGAAATTTTTTAAGTATAAGAGCAATTGAAATCTATAAATAAAAGTGATTGAAGTAAATATTTCATAGGAAAAAAAAAGTTCGTTTGAAACACAAAGCAATGACAAATGAAACATTTGAAGATGTCGACTATGCTCGTGGAATAGATATAATAAACGATACATCGTCAGACTCAAACTCAACAAATGATAATAGTTAACGACGATAAAATATTATGTCAATAAACAAAATTAATGTGAATATTATATGGAAACAATATTCATATTTTATTAAATCAGATATTATTTAACTTCAGTGACTCTTCTCAATTACATATCTCAATATTTTCTACTGGAGTGGCAATACAATTAAAATTAAATGTCTTTTTTTTCCTATTTTGTAAATATTAAAAAAATATAAAGATATTACTATGGTTATATATTCTTTTTTATTGATTCAATAATAAAATACTGTAGAAAATTTTTAAAACAATTTAATTTATTAAGATAAGAAAATTTTGTTAATTATATTATTGATTAAGAGTCGATAAGTTCAACTTTAGTATCGATCTGTTGGAAAAATTCTTTCGCTCATATGATTGATCTGAATTTCGAATTGGGAACTGGACAAGTTCTACCCTATTAATACTATATTATGATGCACTTACTAAGTTCTAACAAAAAAATATCTTCGGTTTGATTTACGAGTAGGAATACACCAAATTTCAGTTTTGACTTGGAATTTTTTTGTTGTAGGATTATTAATCATGTTTTTCTTTATTCAAAACTAAAATAAAGTTAAGAAAAAGCCCTCATCATAAATAATCCACTTACCATGATGATGATCTATAAAGGATGCAAAAATACGTTTTGACCTTATCATACAATATTGTTTTCTTTTTTTGTCATATGTTTTTATATTGCTCGAAGTTGATATTTACAGTACACATATTATCCATCTAGATCTACTCTAAGTTAAAATTTCAGTTTTTTTTGTTTATGATTATGAAAAAGATTTAAATAATATGAAAGTCATAAAAAAAAATTTTAAATCATTCTTGAAATAATCATGAAAAAAAAACATTGAAGTCATTCGTACACCTACTTATTATGAATAACGTTTGTTTTCTTTCTCACAATTCTTCCGTTCTGTAATTTATGCACGTCATTTGTAACGAAAAAACAAACCTACCGATGTCTTTATCTCTGGTAATCGTAACTTGTAGAAACAACAAAAACATAAAAAAAGACTTACGTGGATTGATATTGACGAATGTGTTGATACAGAAATAAATAATGCGAAATTTGATAATATTTAGTTGGTTGAAAATGTTTGATGTGTAATTAAAGAAAAATTGAAAGGTAAAAACATTTTGACAACGAATGAAAATTGAAAAAAATAATCAAGTAGTACAACAATCAAGAATGTTTACAGCTAACAAAATACAAGCAAATGATGAAAAAAATACTGATTTTTTTAAACGAAATTTGATTTGAAATATTCTTTCGAGTAGTATCTTTTATATTACATTACTAACAAATTTGTCAAAAAAGATTTTTTTCATTATATAATCAATATAAATCATAATATTTTAATGAGGTAAAAGATAAAATAACATGTTCTAGTTGATTACTCGATAAATAAATTTTCAATAGATTTCATCGTAGTTGAAATTAATTTAAGGCCCCCTTCCTCCCTCAGAAACTAACTTCGTTATTTTTCGTCCGATTTCAACCAAATTTTGGAAGAATATTAGTCTAGGCTAGGATAAAGTATGGGTGAAATATGTCCTCCAAATCTTCAATATATTAACGAGTTATAGTCAATTTATTGGTCAAAAGTACCCTGTACGCGGGCAAGATTTTCGCAATCAGGATACGAGCTAACATGCCGGAGCGTTTTTTAAGTTGTAGAGTACCCTTAGGACTAGATCCTCACAGAGCCCGATTCTTGAAATTTCCTTTGTTTGTTTTTTAAAAACTCTTTTCCGAAAAATTCTTGAATTCATGGCCAAAAAAATCGCTGATAAAAATGAAATATGTAAGTTTTTTATTTCGCCAATAGAGAAATTCAAATATCGGACTCTGTGAGGATCTAGCCCTAACTGTCCTCTATACAATAAAAAAAAAATTATCACTTCTCTATTGAGTCGTTATTAAAAGAAACCTTGCTCGCGTAAACGGTATGCTCGAAAAAATTGATTTTGAGAAAAACGGAGAATAAGTTTTTAAGAATCTTATTTTTTTCAATATGGGGGTTCAGAAAAATCTATGTAATATCCTTAAATCTCAGCATAAAATCAATCAACTGTAGTGCATTCGAGAGTAGACACATTGCTCTATCTAATGAGTTATAAATCACAAAATCGATAAATTTGAGCAAAATTGACTTTTCTNCGAGAGCCATGTGGCTGCTCTCGTACGCACTACGGGTGGTTGTTTTTCGGATGGAATTTAAGGTTATTACAAAGATCTTTCTGAGGGTGGGGGGAGGCTTAAAACCAAGACAATATTTAACTATAATCTTTAACTCCAGTTGCATACATCGATGCACCTCTCGAGAATACATCGTATGACTACGACATCTACAAAAATAATTTTTGAAGTTTTTTAGTGTTTGCTTCATCTTAATATTGAACACTTGTTTTCTACATTAAGAAAATATCCTTATATAGTTCATCTTTTTCAAGCCAAATAACGAAATTATTAAAATTCTTCAACAAGTTCTATAATTTGAGTAATTCTATCGATGGAGAAATGAGAAGGAATCATCTTTTTTTCTATAGGTTTATTACTTTTCTATAATCTTTGATGCACCATCCATTAGCGTTATTTATTTGCAATCTATTTTCGTACTCATTTATGGTGATATCTAATCTTCTTTACTCTCCTCTATAATTTCTGATCTTTTTAAAATAGATTTCTGAGTTTCAGATTGCATTTAAAAAAAAAGAATTTACGTTATCTTAAGCATGTTCCTTCGTCATCAAGTATTTAATACATGTTTAAAACATTTAACAGTACGAATTAGTCATGAACAATCTTAAATAATCCGAATAAGAATTTCTCTTTTATTTAACTCATTAAATTCGTTTTTTTAATCTTAGACAACAATTCAACTGCAAAGTATTCATCGAAAAAGGAATTTTTTCTATATTTCTTCAATCAATCATCTATGAATATATACATTTAGTTTACTATCTCAAAGATGTATCAAAAGCTAGTGGTGACGAAGTCAAAAGTCATATTATTGGTATTGCTTTAGGTATAATAAATTCATGTGTTGCTATTATGGAAAGAAAATCGCGTAAAGTACTTGAAAATACTGAAGGCATAGCTATAAATTTATTATAACAAAAAAAAACACAATTAGATAAAATATATTTTACCAAAGGTATGCGAACAATACCATCAGTAGTACCCCTTACAAAAGATAATAAACGACTTGTTGGTATGTCTGCTAAACGTCAAGCAGTAACAAATCCTCAAAATACATTTTATGCTTCAAAACGTCTGATTGGGAGAAAATTTAATGATGAAGAAGTTAAAAAAGAAATGTACTTCGGGCATACCAAAAGTAGTGAGAGTGACATTTTAATACCATATAATAAGCTTTAAGAAATTTTTCTCTATATAGTCTGATAGAGAAAACAATTCTCTATTTTTCTAATCTATTTGATCATACTTCAACAAATATAATAATAATAAAATTTCGATAAGATCTGTTTTTCTATCATATGTAATGGTTACACTAATCCGAATGTATATTTTTTGAATAACTTTTGATAGAAACAAGATAGAGAGCTGCAGTTTTCACCGTTGGAAAACGGAGATAAAGACGCATTGAATTGTATATTATATATTTTTCTAGACGTTATTTGAAATTTTTCAAATAATTTTCTAAGTATGTAAAAGAAAAATGTTTTTTTTTATTTCTTCACAGAAATTGCTAAAAAAATCACTTAGAGCTTCGACTAGAACATCTATGACTCCTGAATGATTAATTCAAAATATCTGAAACTTCATCAGTTTTGTAGGTCTTCCATCGACGGTTTGAATACACACCTGACGATTGAGAATTCGCTGTAAACACCATATGGAATAGGTTTGTTTTAAAAGAAGTCGATTGAAAACCTTTAAAAAGTCATGTCCACAAACCAATAATAAAATTCGATGCATCTTCATTTCTTCTTTCGAACAGTGAAAATCTCAGCTGTCTATCTTATTTTTATCAAAAGTTATTCAAAAAATATTCACTGAATAGGCATCAGAATAACCATTACATATGATAGAAAAAAAGATCTTATCGAAATTTTATTATTATGATATGTGTTGAAATATGATCAAATAACAACATTGAAAAATAGAGAATTTTTTTCTCTATCAGACTATATAGAGAGAAATTTCTTAAAGCTTATTATATGGTATTAAAATGTCACTCTCACTAATTTTGGTATGCCCTAAGTACATTTTTAGTTTTTTTTAAATTTAAAAAGAAAAAATATTTAATTTCAATATGCAAACAGTATCATTCAAAATTGTAAGTACATCAAATGGTGATTCATGGGTTGAAGCACATGGTAAAATGTATTCACCAAGTCACATTGGTGCTTTTGTTTCAATGTAAATGAACGAAACATGAAAATTATTATAGTTCACCTGTTAAAAATACTGTTGTTACTGTTTCAGCTTATTTTAATGATTCACAACGACAAGTATGTTGACTTAGAAAAAGAAAATTTGTTTTAATAAAAAAAAAGTATATTTTAGGCAACAAAAGATACTGGTCAAACAGCTGGTTTAAATGTTTTTCGTGTTGTTGGTAAACCAACAGCAGCTGCATTTGCCTGTGGTCTTGAAAAAACAAATGACAAAATGTAAAACAGAAAATTGTTCTAGAAAAGAAGAAAATTCATTTTGTGGTTTTTTTTTAGTATTGCAGTTTATGATCTTGGTGATGATACATTTGATATATCCATACTTGAAATGCAATCAAAATGTATTTGAAGTATATTCAACAAATGGGGTTACAGTTTTAGATGGTGAAGATTTTGATAATGCTTTACGTAAACATCTTGTAACTGAATTTAAAAAAAGAGGTAAAAATGAAAATTTTAAGTTAAATATATTATTATCGTTTTTTTTAAAGAGTAGTATTGATATAACAAAAGACGCATAAGGAATGCAACATTTAAGAGAAGCTGCAGAAAAAGCTATATGTGAATTATCACCTGCAGCACAAGTAAGCATAGAAATGATGGATTTTTGTAGTTGTAATAATTCAAATTGAATTTTTATTTTTTTATAGATAGATATTAATTTACCTTATTTAACTATGGATAAATCAGGTTCAAAACATATGAATTCGAAAATAACTCGTGCTCAATTCGAAAGTCTTGTTGCTTATTTAACTAAACGAACAGTTGGCAAGAATAAGTTTTTTGATGAAGTATTTATCAAGAATCATGGGAAAAGAAAAGAAACATGCTGGAAATGTTGTTGATTTTTTCCTGCAGTATTATCTTCTTTCTCTTCATTTTCCTTTGTTTCCTTACTATCCGTTTCAAGCTAGAAGGGATTCCGATGTTTTGTGAAAAATTTTGTTAAGATTGAAAATTTCAGACGCTAGTCCTTCTATTGTTCTTCCTTTTAGAACCTCTCTCTCTGAATTCACTTCACTTAGTTTTTGTTCTCTATCTTTTTCTTGGCCTTGCATCATTTTATTCATGTATTGTACCATTATTTTTTTGGTTTTTGTCCCACTTCTATTAACATATCATTCTTACGCAATCTTCGTTATATATAGATTTGCGTTTTTTCACTTTTATTTTCAAAAGAGATTTTGATTGTATTGTGTGTGAGTGTCTTATCTTTTTGCCTTTTTAACATTTATTCTAATAATTTAGATAACTTATTTTATATTCCTTGTCAATATCTTGTTAAAGAAGAAGAAAATTAATCTACTATGGGCAACACTACCTGTCGCATTGACAGTGGTCCAGGAGGAACAGAGGTTAAGTTATATGATTTAATAACCGGACAAGATAGATATGTACAACCTGGAGATATGATTGAATTTCCAAGAGGAAATTACAATCACTGGGCAGTATATGTTGGTAAGAGTGTAACTGTCCAGCATTTCGAATTGTTTTGATGTTTTTTTTTATTTCTTCACAGGAAATGGCAACGTTATTCATCTGTAAGGCTCTTTTTTTTACCAGGTAGCCTCGCCCAATAAAATTTTTCCATAATTCAAAACTACTAAAAAATGCGAACGAGTTCTTGATTCTTTTTGTAATTTTAAACATCTTTTTTTATGTTTTTCATGTTTTTTTAGTTGCGACAAACTCGTTCTTTTTCGAGTTTTATCCAGGAAAGAACGCAAAAACTGGTTGTTTAATTACAGCAATGCAAAAAAGGCGTTTCTCGTTATTAGGAAAAACTCAGTTTTCGCGTAGATTTAAAAACGTAAAACGCAAAAAAGGATGTTTGAAATGAAAACCACAATCAAAAAAAGAAGATTGTGTGTTTTTTCTGTTTAAGCCGCGACAAAGACAGCTCATTAGGCGTAACGAAGTATCACTCTCGTCTTCTGGTCTTAGCTCATTATTGGGGTTTTTCCACGACATTTTACACTTTTTTATCTGAACGTATGCGTAGGTGGATCGAAGGTGACGATAAAAGTAATAATGCTGAAGTAATGGAAAGTAAATTTGAAGTTGTGGTTCAAGGTAGTCCAGCAAGAATTAATAATTATCCTGATTGCTTTGGATCGAGGTATGTTTTTGCAACCAAAATTTCCAAGCTTTCTTTTGTTTTGCGTATTTTTCTGCATTTATTTTCTCAGACCATATGCAGCAGATGAAATTGTTGAACGTGCTCGTAGAGCTCTCGGAAAAAAAGGATATAATCTGTTGAAATATAATTGTGAACATTTCGCTACTGAATGTGAGTAACCTATCTTTTTTTTACTGGGGAGTTTTATCTGCTTGTTTAATTATTACTTTTAAGGTCGCTATGGACGAAGTTGGAGTCATCAGGTAATCTGAGCAAATACTAAAGAAGAGTAATCTATAGATTAATCTTATTCATGTCATTTCACTTTTCGTTCTAGTCTGTTGGTCCAGGTTTATCTTTAGGTTTCTTTCAATGAATCTTTTCTTAAACAATTAGAACCAGTCAAACTAAAAGAAGAATAAAAGCAAAAAGCATATAAAAAAGAATGCACCATTATTGGTTGAGTTCTCTTTTCTTTTACTTAACAGTTGTTCAACGAAGTGAGATTTTCTTTTTTTGTTATTACATCTGCTTGTTCATTTTTTTCTGTGTAGAGTTCAGTTAATTTACTATCATTGTTGTATGCATACACTTTTTTGTATATTTCTATTTTTCAACACAGGCTTTCGAGATTTTTTCTTTTCACTTAAAACTGACAGCTCAAGATGACACTATTTACTGGATTTCTTGACTTTACAAGACCTTTTTATCCCTTATCAAGAGCTTGTCTCGTAGTCAGAGAAACTTGCCAATGCATGAGATTTGGTGTCTTTGATTCTCAAGTGAGTCAATCTAAAGTAGAACACGTTTCACGAAATGCTTTTTCGAAAAAAAAACATTAGCCAACATCGCGAAGCGACAGAAAAAGAGAGTTCTGTAGAGCAAAACGGAGGAACGTTCTGCTATATCCATTGGTGTCTTATTCAGAGGAAAAATCAGTGCAAATGTCTTTAAAGTCTGCGTAAGAAGCAAAAGCAGAATTATTTCTAATTAGGTTTTTAAATAAATTTCAATTAATTTCTACATCGCAAATATGAGGTGAGTAAATCGCATAAAAAATGAGTTTGCAAAGTATCACAAGGATATAATTTCTTTTCTCTGACATGCAACGCCTGCCATGATTGTTCGACTGTTGAGCATCGATCCAATGCAATTTTTCATCGAATATTCTTGTCACGAACGAAAGTCACATGTCTCCCAATTATCTCATTTCGAGAGAGCTATCATGGGGAGAAAAGACACTCAAATATGTTTCAATAGTGTAAAAAAGAGTTTTTCACTCCAACTGGATACTCCTGCGAATATGAGATTCGCTAGGAATTCGATTAGAAACGCAGGCATTCACGATGAACGGTTGAAGGTAATATTCGAGCAAATAATTTCTTGTTATTGCGGTTGACGCACTGTGCGAACTGGAATTGCGCTAGTCTTCAGTAGTAGTCATGCAATATCCTTCCTATTGATTTTGAAAAGATCAAGAAAGTTGATTTTATAAAGATGAGAATCAATTGACTTCAACTAACTTCATATATTATTCAATTATTTCTGAGAAAAAAGACTCAGTTCTGACAAGACCTGGCTTCCGATTGCTATTTTTTTAAAATATAGGATTCCTTTATAGGATCAAATTTGCTTAATTATAGGATTTTCTCCAAAAAATGACAAAAATATAGGATTTTTTATACGGAAATTCTATCCAATTGGCTTAGTGCTGTTATTAATTTCTGTGTTCGAATATTGTTTTAATAAAGTTGCAGATAAACAGCTCAACTGTAATTAGAGTTTTTATGCTATTACTTTCTGTTGAAATAAGTTATTAATTCAACTATCATCATTTATATAAAGTTTACTTATAAAACTTTTCACAAATCAATAAATAGCAATAAAGTAAATCATAAACTTTGAAAAAACAAGCATATAAAAAAAACAAATACTAAATCATATAATTAAATTTAACTTATAAAAATAAAACTTGATTATATATAATGAAGGACATTGAATAATAACCATTAAGTATCATCGCTCACCCATGGCGTAAAATATTTAAGGAAACGCACTGCATAACGCGTTTCCGAGATTTGGACATGCGTTTCGCTGCGTTTTTTCGAGACGGAGTGCGTTTTGCAGTATTTTTACTTAGATAGAACACGTTTTGCCGCCTTGACTTTTCGAAACGATGCGAAACGCTTCTTTGTGAGATTACGTTTCGAAGCGTTTCCGAATCAAAACGCTGGTAAACTCATGTCGCTCGACAAGAAACGCATTTTACAGAGTCACAATCAGGAGAAAACGCGAAACACGTTTCTTTAAAAATGTATTTTGCATCGTTTACGCTTCGAATGATAAAAAACAGATCTCTTTTGTTGCAGCATCTCGCATCAAATTCATCTTCAAAACGCATGTGAATTAAGAAAACTCAGGTATTGTCATGATTGTGGAAATTATACGAAATGGTTTTACAAAAGATTTGCTGATCGCATTGTTTTTGGTCATAAAGATGGCGGCGCAAGTCTTCCGTAGGCAAGATCAGAATCGAATTCTCCTAAAACTTAGGCAGATTACGTCGTTTTCTAAGGCTAACTCTAGGTTAGACTCACATTGAACATCAGAGTGTAACTAAAGTATATCTCTTATTAGAAAACTTATTTCAGTACCTTTTCATTCAAAGAAAACGCGTTTCGTAGCGTTGAATAGAGGACTGTGTTAAATATTAAAAAATTTGAAAAAAATCAGTGATGACTGAGGCAAAAATAATGTGTACGACAGCTTAGCGTTGCTGTGAGAAAAAAAGCATTTTCGCGCAATGTATAATTTGTAATAATTATTATTGTGAATTTATATGCGGACTGCCTTATAGTGACTGATTATATACTCTCCAAAACATGACTATAATATGAATTTCGTTCGTATATTATCGATGTAGCTAGTTGCGGCTTACTCATAAAAGAGACTAATTACAGAAAAAAATTTCTTTCAATTATGAGTATACTTGGTCTTACGGATCATGGACTTACCTTTACAAAAGATTATTAAATCCAGCAATAATTTTGAAAAAATTTAAAATAAAAATTCTTAGGAATTCAGATATACGAAATTTAATTTTTTTAAATTTTAAATCCAACTTATATCGAATTAAATTCATTTTCATCGCGTCTTTTCACTTAAAAAAATTAATTTCGCAGATCTTAATTTTTAAAAGTTAAATTTTAAATAAAGTAACGGGAAAATGACACTCCTACTTGGACAGAAGCAGGAAAAAATATAATTCTTCATCACTCATTCAGATGTGAAACCGAAACTTTATTCAAATCATGTTTACATGACACGCCTAAATAAGAGTAGAATAGACACATATATTATTCGACTATTTTAGTTGAACGATCTGTGTGCATATCTTCTACTCTGGTGTTCTCGTGTTCGAATCCACCTCTTCAATCTGTCACTGTAAATTGAGATCTACAAAGTCCTTCGTGGTTTTAGTTTTTTTTTTGCCTCCAAATCATGAAAAACCATAGTTTGAGAAAGTTTGCGAAATGCTGAAAAGAAAGAGTTGTTCCGCAGCGTTTATTTTAACAGATGTGAAACGCGTTAAACCGGCCAGCATTAACGGGTTTCGCAACTATGGGAAAACGCGTTTTCGGAACGCGTTTTTTCCCAGAAATTTACGCCATGGGAACTCTCGCTAAACTTTGTTAAGTTTTTTGGCATTATGTTTCTGAAATGATAAATAATAATTTATTAATTAATTTTTGTATTAATAATAAGCTTTTTTTAATTTACAAGAAAGAACTTTATAAAACTGAAATTAATAAATTATATATATATTCGCAATTATCTTTGCATATAAATATGCATGCCTACATAATATAAATATCTTTTATATTTAAGTAAATCCTACCTAAAAAGCAGAAATTAGTAAATAATGATTTTTTCAATGTAATTTTTCTTTTGAACTATGTTGTATTTTGTACTTGATGTTAAATAATCTCTCAGTCCGTTCATTAAATAGGCGAAAAGAAAAAAAATAATACTATGTTTAAAATAGATGTCAGCATAACAACAATGTATTCAATATATATATAAATATATAATCATACATGCAAACATTTCTTTCATCTAAAAAAACTAGCAAAATTTATCGATTTTTGAAAATTTTGAATTTTTTTCAGTAAAATATAGGATAAATAGGTATTTTTCGAAAACATAGGACAAAAACAGGATCTTTTTTCAAAATATAGGAATTATAGGAAATATAGGTCGAATCGCATGCCAGGACAAGACTATTTATTGACGCTGATATAAAGGTAATTATAGAACACATTCAACATGATAGGGTCTGTTTATCGTTTACCAGATATTTTTAACTCTTTCTTAGATAAGATATCATATTTAAAGTAACATAGATGTTTCAAGAGTTTATCGATAGGGTGGGTCGTAGGCACGAGTGTTGACTGTCGGGTGTGGCGTGTGAGTGTGGGTGGTGTGGATGTTGTTGTGGCTGTAGGAATGGGTGTTTGTGTGGGTATGGGTGTGAGAGTGGCTTTGAGTGTAGCTGAGGGTGGTGGGTGTGGGGGTGTGCAAGTGAGTATGATGTTTTCTACATACACTCACAGCTATAACTACTCCGCAGTCACACCCCACACCCACACTTCACACTCATGCTTAAAGGTTTTTTTTGTGACCGTAATCGTGATCGTGTGTGATTAAAGACTATTCTTCGTGATCGTTATCGTGATCGTGATTGAAAAAAGGTTTCCAAAATCACGATGATAATACGAACATTCAAAACTTCACCCATTTTGTCGGATATGTAATGCTTCACATTTAAATTAGAAAAAAAGTTTCGCAGTTCATAGGCTTCATATAACAAAAGTAAGAAACAATGCACATAAGTTATCAAATAATATATGTATAAAAACGGATGACAATCGATTTAATCTGAGTTTTTGCCAAGTTTTGGTATATGGCAAAGAAACTTCAACGAGAAAAGGCTAGATAAGCTGTCAGCCGCTTTCACCATTTAGCTATCACCATCACTCTCATCCTCTGAGAGAAATCAGAATTAGACATTTCAAAAATACTTATACATACACCAACAATTCTAATATCTTCAAACCACTCACAATGTGTGAAAATAAATGAAAAAGATGAATTTTCTGTGTTTATATTCTTTTCGAGAGTATTTAATGGAGTATGTCCCATAGGGGACAAGACAAGACGACAAAACAGTTATTTGTGTCTCCAGATTAGACATGTCTGGAATCAAGTTTCGTTCATCCCAGTCCCGGTAAGTTTTTTCTTTTGATCTCACACATGTTTATTAATGGCACTTCAAGAGACTTGATTTGACTTTTTGAGACTTAATAAGGCTTAAGC